ATAAATTACTATTGATGTGAATGCTAAAGATATATACTCGACTATAAAAATTATTCATCGATATTTTTAATTACCATTGCACCCATTTCTCTTCTTGTGATAATAGGTTTATAATTGACTTACAATTTAATTTATTTTTTAACCATATACACACCGTAGAATTCAGTGGGTCTATTTATTGTGTATTATATGCAGCTGATCATCATGTGTGTGTGTGTGTATATATTCAAATACATTTTGTTATTGTCTGGTTAGTATATAGTTCGATCGGCTAACTTAAAAGTGCACAATATGTAGGCATTTGATTAAAGCAAGTTGAATTCAACTATGTAAAGTCTCCAAGGAACTTCAACTTCTATCACTAATACTTCCAAAGTCTTCATATCTTTGGTGCAACGAATTCATTAAAGTTGGGGGTGTTGTAAATACTTATGGAATTTAGACAAACTACGTAATTTAGATTCTTCAATTTACTATATTTTGTTTACTAACCGTTGTATTATTTTAATATTTCTTTCTCTTATTTTTTTGTTTCAATTAAGAAAGCAGGTAAATGCCAACTATTTTAAAAATAATGAATCAAGGAGAAGAATAAGTGACTTAATTAAAATAATTTAAAAAATTCTAGTTCATTTGACGGACTGGGGGTAATTTTTACAAGTTTGCTGATTATAGGGATAAATTTAGCCAGATATTATAAAGCTAGGGGTAAATTTTGGTTGAATAGTATAACGGATGTTAGATGGAGATAATATTCGAAAGTAGAGTGGTAACTTTGGACATTTTCCCTATTTTAAAATCAAATACTTAAATTTATATACTATATATGGAAATGCAACACTTACACCTTTCCTATCACCTATGAGGTATATCCATAACTATGTATATTAAAATACAATTATCAAAAGATAAATTAAAATTATAAATAAAAAGTTTAATGTGTTTATTTTTTATGAAATTTAAAAAAAGATGATAAATATTTTTGTTGAGAACCTTTATTCTTTTATTTTCTATTTTAACCAAAGCTGTGAATAAAAATTTTCATCAAAAATATTTATCTTTTTTTTAATTTTTTTTTTTTATAAATACTAAAAAAATTTTATCTATAATTTTAATTACTTCGTGAGGGATATATCTCATAAGATGTGTTGACATTCTATTATTTCTTTCCTTTATTTAGTGGGTGTGGTCCTCGTCCCTTGCAGTAATTGTGTGGTTGGCAGCGATTATGAATCGAGTGCGTTAGACTTTAGTTTTGCCACGTCAATATTGACAAGTTTAAACGTTGCGAACTGAACTGAGCTAGCAGTCATTGACAAATATAGCCTTCCAATTCTGCAAATCTTGAAAGAACAGAAGGAAGTTATAGGGGCATAATGGGGAAATTAAAAGATACCAAAGTGATGATGTGTTCAAAAGACCAACTTCAGAATATGACATCGTCAAAATTGCGACGTGTCAAATTTGTAGGGGCGATACCTAGAGGTGTTAATCGGGCCGAGCTGACCCGCTAACAACCTGATTCAACCCGGGTCAGCCCGGTCCAGCTCGTTACTGTGTATATGTGTGCGGGTTGGGACGGGTTGGACGGGGGCGGGCTAATAACGTTAAGTTTTTGCCAAACGGGTACCTGAACCCGCCACAACCCGTTAAGCCCTTAACAGGTTCTTAACGGGCCGCAGCCCGCGACAGCCCGCAAAATCGCCTAATTTTTATTTTATTTTTTAAATTAAATCTGACCGCTAAAAGAAAAATATAAGATAGTTAAAAATAATATTAAAAAAACGAAAGTCTGACCCGTCCGAACCCGCTAGGCCCGAACTCATACAGGCCCTATAGAATCCGAAAAATCTCAGCCCGCCGCCAGCCCGTTAACTTCAGCTCGCTAACAACCCGCCCGTAACTCTAACGGGCTGACCATTTTTATGCCCAACCCGTCCCAGCCCACCCGATAAACACCTATAGCGATACCTTGTAAAGAATTCTGAGATATTTTTGGGCATTTGTTGTGGTCATGGCGTTGGCGTGGGAGTTTAATGTTTATTGGTGAATGTCGTTCCTGAGGTTGATGCTCACTCATTGTCTTGTGTGGCTATTAGCAAAAAACAGAGAGAGCAACAAACTAAAATTCAGATAGTGACGTACTGACTGGGTAGCGGGGCATTCTGATGTGTAGCTATTCCGTTGTGTTCATAGTAAGTGATCAATTTATTTTAGATACACTCATTAAAAAAATATTAAATTTTAGATAAAAATAATTAGTATGAAGACTAAATTTTTTTTTAGAAATACATACATAAAGATAATTTTAAAAAAGTAAATTAAATATTTTCTTAATTATATAAATGAACACTTATTTTGAACTAAAATAAAAAAGTGAATTGATCACATATTGGCCGAAATACCGAATGGAGTAACAAATAAAGGGAAACAAAAATATTCAAAATTGAGAAACAACCGGCATGAGATTTAAGTATTGAGTGGAGCATCTACTATGTTATTCTTTTTTATTTTTTTGTTATATACATACTATATTCAATTCAATTCAACCAAAAGTTACACAAGATTTCATAACCTCATTTGTAACTTGGCCATCAGTTAATCACAGGATGATTTTTCTAGATATACTAAAAATTGTTGCATTACCACTTACAACTTAGTTTCAATTAAAAGAAAAGTTTCACGGGTTACGTAAATTTCTTCTAGACATAGAATGTAAATTTCCGACATAGTTTACTGCCAAAAATAGTACTCCCTCCGTTCCAATTTAGGTGAACTTGTTTAACTGGACACAAAGTTTAAAAAAAAATGAAGATTTTTGGAATTTATAGTCCTAAACAAGTTAAAATGGGATTCAGAGTATTTGTGTGGTTATAAAAGATTCTCATTAAGGGTATAATTGAAAGTTTAAGTTAAATTGTTTCCAAATTTAGAAAGGAGTCATTTTTTTTGGAACGGACAAAAAAAAAATAGGTTCACTAGAACGAAAAGATTTGTATGAGATTTGACTAAAAGAAAGTCAAGTTATCAAGAGGCTTAGCCCTTAAATAATTACAAATAGCGGTAGGTACAGAGGAGGATACAATGTGAGAGTTACGAGTTCAATTGAACCTATAACTTTCGACGCGGAGTAGAAATTTATGTGTAAAAATTTATTAAATTGCAAAAGTAATAGATTTGAACCTGTAACTTTAAATATATAATGGGTTCAATATTAAAAATCTTAAAAATTGAACCCATAGAATTTAAATTTTGAATTTGCCTCTCGGGCAGGTGTTTTAGGATCTTAAAAATCACATTGTCGACTGCTAATGAGCAGTTGAAAATAAAAGCAGGTGATTAGTAAGATGATGAAGAATGTAAAAATAGGGAAGAGTTGAGTTTTGAGTGTTGAATTAGGACAAAAGAAATAGGGAGAGGACGAAGTAATAAAATAAAATGTGAAAGGGACTTTATTTGGAAAAGTTCGAGGGAGACGAGGTTTTGCGGACAGGGATGGATGGAGAGTGGTGTGGTGTTTATTTTGTGAATCCTGTAATACTTCCTTTCAATTTTTCGTATTTATTATATTAAAAATATATTTATTTTTATTTGTTTATTTTAATAAATAAAGAAAAAGATAAATTATTTTTTTATTTTTACTTTTATCATTAACTAAACATTTCCAAATTATTTTTCAATACCTTTTAAAATACTATTATCATTATTATGAGTAAAATTGAAAAATATCTACTTTATTGTTTTTAAAGGAAATGAATAGTTCGGTGCACTAAGCCTACGTTATATGCACCTACACTTTAGCCCCATTATTATATATTTAAATTCCGACCAATATCGGTCGCTATTTGAAAAATAAATATAAAAAGATTTAAGTAATACCAACCAATTTCGGTCGGTATATTTATCTTTATTGTCAGTCAATGCATTGAAAAAACCGACGACTTCGGTGGAAAAATTGCGACCGATTTCGATCCCAACACTTTAGCGGTAATTATTTTTTCGAATTAAAAGCGATCAGAAATCGGTTGCTTTTTCTTAAATTCCAATTGATATCGGTCGATTTTGATGGACGAAATTAGGCAGTTTTCTAGTAGTGGCTGAACCACAAAGGTCTATTATACGCAACTTCTCTTATATTTTTGTAAAAGTGCAAGATGTTTTTAAAACTCAAAGTCATGACCTTCTGGTCATATATCATTAATTTTATCGGTTGCGCCAAGATTTTTTTTTTTTTAAGGGAATGAAAAATTAAAATTGGACAATTAAAATGAAGGGAGGGAGTATATTATAGCGATTGACTTCATAACGAAGGAATATATCACCGCTCATCTTGCACCAACCACTTAACAGAGCGACATCATCTCTCCTGCTGTATTATTGAGCGGTTGGAATGATGATGAGAGAATATTACTGTAGTACGTATACACACGGAGGCGGATTTAAGATTTGAGGCTTATGGGCTCATATCGTAATTTCAAATTAATATGTAATAATAATTGGGTTCACATTCAGATATTTAACAATATTTAGTAAATTTTTTAATATAAATACAAAATATACGCAAGAGTTATTAGATTCCCGAAAACTCGTAATCCATACACTAGGTCCGCTGCCGTATACATAATACACATGATACGTGTGTCTTATATGGCTTGTTGATTTTGAGTCCACATGTTCAAAAAATGCAGTACTGATTAACACGAAGGTCCATATACACATAACACTTGTCTTTCTTCTCCTCCTTAAATATTACTGGACACTGCTCAATTTTTTTTAAAACCACACACACAAATTCTCACTTTAAAAATACACTTCATAATTCACTGTATATTCTCTCAGTTTACGTAGCTTGCTTTATTATCTCACCTTCCTCATTTCTTCTCATTTTGCTCCCCATATATACACATCTCAACCTTTCCAACTCAAAACTATTAATCTACGTCGATCATTCTTCACCTTTTTCAAGATCCGAAAATTATCAATTTTGTATACAAAGTAAAATGAAAGAAGAAGTGTCGTACTTTAAACTCTGTGAGCTTTGCAATGACCAAGCCGCTCTGTTTTGTACCTCTGATTCAGCTTTTCTGTGTTTCCATTGTGATGCCAAAGTTCATCAGGCTAACTTCCTTGTTGCTCGCCATCTTCGTTTTACTCTTTGCTCCCACTGCAATTCCATTACAAAAAATCGTTTCTTCCCCTGTTCTCATAGTCTTGACTCCAACGCTCTTTGTTCCTCCTGCACCCGCAATTTCTTTGGTAATGACTCCGATCTCCATTCTCTTTCCTACTCCTCGTCGTCTACTTGTGTTTCCAGCACGCATTCCTGCGCTATTACTCAAAAGAAGATAAATTTCTCCGATCGAAAGTTGGTGGATTCCTCGAACTCTGCAAACGATTATTCCGGCGAAGTGATCAATTCTGCGACGGCGTGCCTTAAATATGAAGCGCGATCCAGAAATGTGAAATTGAGAGATCCGAGGGCGGCGACTGGCGTGTTCATGCATTGGTGCACGAAGCTTGGAATGTGCGGTGAGGAAGGTGCAGTAGTACTGCAGACGGCGTGTGGTGCATTGGGCATTTGTTTGGGTCGATTTAGGGTTTTGCCTTTGCGGGTTAGCCTGGTGGCGTCTTTGTGGTTTGGTTTGAAAAGTAGTGGCGACAGATCGAAATCCATGCGGCGGTATTTGAAGAGACTGGAGGAGATCTCGGGTGTGCCGGCGAAGCTAATATTAGCCTACGAATTGAAGCTTCGACAAATCATGAAAGCCGATAAGCAACGACGACGTCAAGGAATGGAGGAAAGCTGGGGCGAATCATCGGCTTGATTCTATGGCGTTTGGACGAAAATTCTCCACCTCTTTATTTTGTCACTCTTTTTTTTTCTTTTCTTTTGTGGAAACCATTAGAAATTTGGAAATGTTTGAACATGGCCCTCCATTTTAGAGAAATCTTTTACATTTTACCCTCTACCCTCGGGTAGAGGTAAGGTCTGCGTACATATTACCCTCTCCAGACTTCACGAGATTAAACTGGGTTGTTGTTGTTGTATTTTGTCACGCTTTCCCACAGAGGAAAGAACATTTCAGCCCCCCACCCCCATGAAAAAGAAAAAACAGAAAAAACGTGATGATAACTAAATTTTATATTGTGAATCACACAATGGACATTACTTATATGACATCCTTTAAAATTTATAATATGAGTAGAATACTGAATCCCACTATTAGTTTTGCAAAATTTTACCAATCAATTCGATTTTTGGGAAGTATCATGATCTTCTAATAAGAAGGATTTTAATTTTTTCAAATGAACAATTTGAAGACATATTAATTCTAATAATTGATTGTAGAGTTGATTATTCAGACATTTCAATTCAAAGTTAATCATTCGCACTTTTCAATTTATAGTTGTAGATCTCGGACCTATGAATAGAAATATTTTTGACTCACACAGAAAAAAAGAAGTGAGTTAGACCAAAAAAAAAAGATAACTTGGATAAAAAAAGAAGTGACTTTGACAAAAAGGACCTATGAATAGAAATATTTTCGAGACTCACACAGAAAAAAAGAAGTGAGTTAGACCAAAAAAAAAAGATAACTTGGATAAAAAAAGAAGTGACTTTGACAAAAAGAAACGAAGTGTTTATGTGAGATCCCTTTACTAAAGTGATTTTTGGTTAAGAAAAGTTCTACAAAATTAAAAATTGAGACCCATGTTTTACTTGTTAAATTTTAAAGGGTCTTACAAGTATAATGTTTATTGTGTGATACAAAATAAAATTTCTCACTTAACGTATTAGAACAAAGGAAAACAATATAATACGAGTATGTCCAACGAAACATCATATA